CATTTTAAATGCCTTGGAAGTAGGTGAGATAGTTTCAGGTGAATGGACGAAACCAAGTCTACCTATAAAAAAGTCGGCAGGAGAGACCGACGAGGATGCCAAAGCACGTTGGCAAAGGCATACAAACGCTTGGCAAAAAGCGGACGGTAAATGTCAGAAAATAATAGTTACCTCAGTGGACGATGGTCCATTACAATATTTGATTAACTGTGAGACTGCATTAGAAATGTGGGAGAAACTGCTGAGTACTTACGAGCAGAAGTCTGAGGCAAGTTTACATTTGCTTCAACAACAATTTTTCAGTTATTCAAAGGAGTCGACAGATGACATGTCGACGCATATTTCTAAATTGGTCAATTTAGGAAGGAAACTGAGAGTAGCGGGTGAACCAGTTACGGATAACATGGTTATGACAAAAATACTAATGACATTACCAAAAGAATATAATCATTTTTACAGTGCTTGGGTTTCAGTCCCAACGGGAAGTAAAAATATAAATAATTTGACTAGTCGATTGTTGATTGAAGAATCACGGGTTATCCAGATCAAAGGTGAAGTTGGTGAACAAGAGAAATCGAGTGCATTTCCGGCCAAATTTCAAAACAGATCTGATGGAAGAAACGGCAGTCGTAATTATGGAAAAGGTAAAAATCAATTTACTAATAAAAGTAATATTAAGTGTTATTACTGTGGTAAACTAGGTCATTATAAAAGAGACTGTAGACATTTTCTACAAAGTGTACACGGTGGTAAAACCGGTACTATAGGTGCGAACTTGAACGCATTCGTAAGCGAGTCAAGAATAAATAGTATTGCAACAGATGCATGGGTACTAGACCCGGGAGCTTCGGATCATATGAGCGCAAATCGAGAGTGGTTTTCAAGTTATGAACCACTGGACAACACTCAACAAATCACTATAGGTGATGGGACAAATCTGTATGCAGCAGGTAGAGGTAATATTAATATATTATCATACGTAAACGGTAATTGGAATAAAAATTACATGGCAAACGTGTTGCACGTGCCGGGACTAAAATTTAATTTATTTTCGTGCGGTGCCGCGATGGATAAAGGATTAGTAATGACGTCAGATAGTAAGACGTGTATGTTAACTAAACAGGGGAAACCCGTATGCTCAGGTAAGAGATGCGGAAGGTTGTTTGAGTTAAACATCAAGGTCGAAGTACCGACAAACGGGTACGCGACGGTAGCTGTCTAAAACAGGTTGTCTGTTTGGCACGAGCGCATGGCACATCAGAATTTACAGTACGTAAAAAGTTGTTTGGCGAAACACGAAATAGTATGTTTGGCCAAGGACGACGAATTCATGTGCAGCAGTTGTATAATAGGTAAACAAAGTTGTAAATCATTTAGTAAAAGTAATACGGAGTATCACAATGTCGGTGATTTAATTCATGCAGACCTATGTGGACCAATGGAGGTAAGCTCTATAGGTGGTTAAAAATACTTCTTGTTATTCAAAGACGACTACTCGCATTATAGAACGGTATATTTTATTAAAAATAAATATGATGTTAAAAATATTTTTGAGACGTTCATAAAAAGTTTTGAAACAGAAACAGGTTCTAAAGTCAAAATATTACGAACGGATAATGGATTAGAATTCGTAAATAAAGAAATTACGGGTATTTTACAAAAACACGGGATTCGACATCAGTAACAGTTCCCTACACACCACAGCAAAATGGAAAAGTGGAACGGGAAAATCGTACAATAGTAGAGTCAGCGAGGACAATGATTTGTGCAAAACATTTGGATGTATCACTTTGGGCGGAGGCGGTAAACACGGCTGTTTACACGCTTAATCGAACAGGAACCAGGTCAGTTAAAAATAACTCACCATACGAGTTATACTATAAGGTAATTCCAGACATTAAACACTTACGAGTTTTTGGTACTGTCGTATATACACACATACCAAAGCAAAAACGTAAAAAGTGGGACCCTAAAAGTGAAAAAGGAATATTTGTTGGCTATTCGGATAACACGAAAGGTTATCGTGTGTATTATTCGAAAACAAATAGAATTTCAATGTCTAGAGATATTATATTCGAAAACGAAGGTAATAAATTGGAAAATATAATTGCAGACAAATTAGAATTCACAGATACTCAGACTCAAATCGAGGACGACGGTCGACAACAGGAGTGGCATGGTGCTACGTGATCGGAATACATTAAAAGCGCCGATCAGGTATAATGTGTCGTCGTTCGTCGCCAATCTCGTTGAACCACTAAATCGTGATGAAGCGATAGCTGGCCCACAGAAAAACGAGTGGGAGCACGCTATGAGTGATGAAATTACGTCACTACACAAAACCAACACTTGGTCACTAGTTAATTTGCCTCAGGGCAAGGTTGCATTACGTAACGCATGGGTTTTCAAAACCAAATATAAAAGTGACGGTAATATCGATAAATTTAAGACCAGATTGGTCATTAAAGGTTGTTCACAGAAATACGGTATAGATTACCATGAAACATTTTCGCCAGTGGTCAGATACGAATCAATTAGGACGATATTCGCAGTAGCAGCTGTGGAAAAGTTAATATTACGACAATTCGACATCAAGACAGCATTTCTGTACGGAGAACTACAGGAAGAAATTTACATGGTACAACCACCAGGATATGAAGATGGATCGAATAAAGTATGTAAGCTTCAGCGTAGTGTTTATGGCTTAAAACAAAGTCCAAGATGTTGGAATATACGCTTTAAGAATTTTTTGAATGCATTTGGTTTACAATGTACCGAAGCGAATGCATGTGTATTCAATGCATATAATAGTAGAATTATTCTGGCAATATTTGTAGACGATGGTTTAATCGCTGCAGACAATGAAGAAATAATAAATAAACTTTTAACAAACTTGGAGAAAGAATTTGAGGTTAAAAAGGGAAACTTAGAATATTTTCTAGGTATGCAGGTAAACTTAATGAAAAATGGTTCATTATTTGTGCATCAGACAAATTATGCATGTAGCATAATTAATAAATTTAATATGCTGGACGCCAAGGAACTTTCAATTCCGATAGACAAATCACATACTATTGAACAAAAGGAAGAATCGGAGATATTAAGTGAAGAAATACCTTATAGGCAGGCAGTAGGTAGCTTACTGTTTTTATCACAGGTAACGAGACCAGATATAGCATATGCAGTAAACTTTGCTAGTCGTTACTTAGCAAAACCAACTAAAGCTCATTGGAACTTGGTAAAACGGATTATACGATATATCAAGCGAACATTTAACTATGGCTTGTACTTTAATAACAAAACAAAATTGTCATTAGAAATATTTAGCGATGCAGATTACGCAGATGACATTCAGACACGACGTTCAACGTCAGGATTTCTATTCAGGTACGGGTCAAGCATAATTTCATGGACATCGCAGAGACAACATTGTGTGTCGTTATCATCGACAGAGGCTGAATATATTTCGGCCAGTGAAGCTGTCAAAGGGATTTTGTGGATTACACGGTTGATAACAAGCTTATCGACAACAGGTGACAAACAACCGGTTTTATTTATAGACAAGAAATGGTCCCAATACTTGAAAAATAAAGATATAATGGGTGCAGATATATCTGCATCCTTCACACAAGTGATTATATGACAACATTGTACTATATAAGATAATATGATAAAAAAACGGTTTACTTACTTCATAAAATCTGTCGTACATATATTATCAGAATTATTCTGAACACCTTTATTTAGTATAATAACATTTTCATCACTTATACAACTGCTAGAAATCTCGTTCTTTTGCTCTTCATCATGTTGTACCTAAAACAAAATACAAAAAAATAAAATTTTATTAATAAATTACTATAATAAGTAAACAATTATAAACATATTATGAAATATAGCTTATGGTACCCACCTTTGCGAACAAGAAAGTGTGTCTGGATGGTATACTAACTTGTGTTTATTTACATGATGCAACCATTGTCTTACTTTAGAGTTTGACTCTATTCAGTCAGGCTGCATGCCATAAGGACGTAATGGCAAAGAAGATGAATCCTTTGGTAAATTACTTGTACTGCTTTTAACAGTATCTACCTAATGTATTATATTTTTTAGATAAATTGATCAACTTCGCTGACTGGTTTCTTCTATGCCGGGCCTCCATACCAATTAACCAAAAAAATAGTCCTTGAACAACAATAAAACGAACGACGTAACATTAAGCAATGATATATTGACTTGGATGTATTAGATTAATAGAAATATGTATCAATATAAAATATAATCATTACATACTTGACTAAGACTGTGGAAGGTGGAAGTATTCTTGTAAATATATTTTTAATTACAGACTATCTAAATAACTGAAGTAATAACCAGTAACCATGTTATTACGCTAATAAGTAATAACTAAGTAATAACACGTAATAAGTATTAAGTAGGTTATATCACTTTATCACATCATTCACATCAACAAAACATTAAAACAAAATAATATTCAAATTTATTAAGTCTATAAATACCGTGCTTATCACTAAGATAGTAATAATTGTTATCAAATGAATAACAACAACATAATATAATCACAGATTATATAAAACTAAAACTAAAATTATATTTTTACTAGCTCTAAGTATAACTCAGGGCCCGTTGGAATCGCTGAGAGTGGGTACCGATTTTGGAGACAATGAATTATAAAAGTCTCAAAGGTTGTAAGACGAAAGTTTAGGATTTGTGATAAGGATTAGTGATATGGATTGGAGATAAGTCTAGACGCTTTGGCGAGAATGTGAAAAGTTTGAGTGTCTAGCAATCCGTCACAAACGTTGTAAATGGATAGGCTAGATACGATCTCCAGGATCACCTATATAGAGTATACCTGCACATAGAGTGGTATGTGCCGTAGCATGACCGGTGCTTTATCTTATGTAAAAAGTGTAAAGTCGAAAACCGTGTTGGAGTTTCTAGCAAGTCAGTCATGTCAAGTCAAAATCTATTAACTTTCAAGTTAGCCACTTAGGTTTTTTGTTTACAACTGTACCATCACAGCCAATCGCAACAATGTTTGAAGTAACTATATTATTTGTTTCCAAAAAATTAATAATACTATTTTTAATTTGTAAAGAAGAACCGTTAGTTGGTGTTGCGTGACCTATGTATTTAGATTCTGGTTCTTGAATAAGTGATATATGTTCTTCAGTTATTATTTGTCTGTAATATTTAGTTAGTTCCTTATGGTTTACCATAGTCTTATCTTTTCGCCCATCAAAATATAGTCCCAATAATTTTTTATTTTTTACTTTTTGTAGATCTATACGTTTTTTTTCCCTTTCTCTGCGAACTTTCATTCTATCTATCACATTTTTTTTAGTATCAACTGAAATAATACCAACATCCTGAAGTATTGCACTTGCAATCGTAGCAGCAGATCTGTCCGATATTCCAGTTCTATCACAGGCCATTGCTAAAGCTGGTAACTTAAGTCTCATCTGTGAGTTTTTTATACTAGATGACGTCGGCGTATTCAAAACAGCTATAAAATCTTCGTCGGAATCATCAATTTCGGTACTGACTTCATCGGAATTGAAATTAATCTCGTTAACTACTGACAATTTTTTTTTTCAATTCGCTTTGCATCGGTCTCTTTTCTTCTTATTTTTTTTTGGAGCTTTTTAGTAGTTGAAATGTCAATTGAAGTCATAACCATTTTTCTTGTTGTTCTTTGATCTATAATAAATACCTGCTCAATAGTTGGAACTTTTCGAGATTTTTCACAATTACATAAACTTAACACAACACATTTACATGCCGCAATATCAAAAAGACTGTTTTTTGCTTCACTTTGGAAGTTTTCTAATTTTTTTTTAAAAGTTTCAATATTTATTCTACTCTTAGCCGACTTCAGTATATTCCGATATTTATCATGGTACGTTTTTATCATTTGCAACACACGTGTATGAGATACTACTGGAATTGATGCTTTTAGCCATACCTTTTCTAAAACTGCTATAATTTCTGCTATAGAGCTTACACTAGGTTCTTTAGAGGTAGTTTCGGGTTTTAGTTTATGTTTCACAAACAAATAATATTGCATGACATCTTCAAAAGTTGGAAGTACATTGTTACTAAGTTCTTTAGCATCTCCAAAAATAAAACATTTTAATTTATTTCTGGTCAAAACACAAGCCATTTTCACGAATATTTAAAGAACAAACTCAAACACAATAAACTTTATAAGACTCCGTACGAATATACAGCGATACTGAATGTGAAATCGAGTTTGTCAATTGAACTAATGGTGAAAAATGTCACATTAAGATAAGATAGGACAACTCATAAATAGAATAACCCTGCAATAAATGAAGCATAATAATTGTACTATATTTAAAATGCCTTGAGGCACTTCTTGATCTAATCCTAGATTTTTAAAAATTTTTATATAGCATATAGGGACCAAAACACATATTTCCCTAACTATTAGAAACTTTATATTTAAGTTTCATTTTTTCGATCCACCCTAGTAGGTATATCACATAGAGTGGTATGTGCCTTCGCATGTCCGGTGCCTTTTCTTATGTAAAAAGTGTAAAGTCAAAAACCGTGTTGGAGTGTCTAGCAAGTCAGTCATCTCAACTCTCAAGTCAAAATCAAGATTAACTTTCAAGTTAGCCACCTAGGTAGGCAAACCGAAATAAAATACAAACTATATTTATATAACAAATATGCAATTATAATAATTCCTAATAAAACAAATATAATATGTACCTATTTATTGTGTGGTATAAAATGACAATGACTTTAAATAATAATAATGTACGATATGTTCCTGTATTATTATATTATTATTTAATTTATATGAAAAATAACGTGAAAAAAAAATGCAAAAAAAGTCGGGTTTCGGGCGGCCGTGTAAACCATATGGCTTGAACGATATCAACGCCCGGACGGAATACGACGGATTCGAACCCGAGACCTACGTGTTTCCTTTCTAACGCCTAACCTACTCGGGCACAGCTTGAGATATGGAAGGCAGTGAAAACATCAACAATTAAGCCGTGCGTCTATGAAGCGACGTAAACCGATATATTCGATGTACATCGATGTAATCGCATATAATTCGCTTGTAATACGCGCATCTCCCATATACATATTTAACGGGGCGTGTGAAAAGCGTTTTCAGTTAATAATTATTAATTATTAACTCATAAGGAAAAATTAAATTATACACGTATATACATGTATATATACGCGTACGGCCGGTCGGTTGCGAAACGCGATTGCGAGGCGAACGAACCGATTTTGGGGGAAAAGCGCATATAAACGGCTTCAAAAAGACTCGATTCGGGCACAAACGGATGCGAATAGACGAAACGGTGGGAGAAAAGGAAAAAATCGGCAAAAAAGTCCGGTCGGGAGTGTATTTATTGATCGACATTGCACGAATATAAACCGCACACCGGTTACTTAGAATTAAGTATATAAAAGGACGAAAAGATATCGTGTAAAAACATCTAATTTTCCGAAAATCGGCGAAATGATAGGAAAAGAGGTGATAACGAAAAACGTTTTAAAACCGACCGACGCGGCGACGCCACTGCGAAGGTACGCGATTGGTCGCGCTATAAGGAATCGACGGGACATGGCCGGCGGGCTGGGGAAACGGAGCGGTGCTTCATTTTTTACGCCACGGGTTCGCTATAGCCGGCGTTTTCCTTTCCATTGGTACTCTATATTATCAGTCAGCTGTTCTTCATTTTATAGTATTAGATAATCAGAGTGCTATACGTTTAGTTAAGAATCCGGAGTTTCATAAGAGGACAAAACACATAGACGTACGATATCATTTCATACGGGAGAAATACGAAGAAGGACAATTCCAACTACAGTACATTGGAACAGAGGACCAGATTGCGGACATTCTAACCAAGCCTTTGGTTAAGGAACGATTCGAGAAGTTGCGGTCAGCCATAGGAGTGACTACAATTAAAGAGATTATTAATTGAGGGAGGGTGTTGAAATATACAATTAATATGTAGTACATGTAGTCAGCCTTGACACGTGTGTACAATATAGTAACTAGCTATGTACGAGCATAAGACTCACTCTCTTCACGAATGTAACATGACCTCGGTCGTGCATATATATAGGGCCTTTGATGTACCTATGTAATATTCACTTGCACAGGCGTCGTTGTACAGAGCGTATACGATGTGTGTGTACTGTCACAGTTTAATTGTCCAGTTGTACGTTATTATATATTATACTTATACATAATCATATTGTCGTGTTATTACTTATTATATTAATGCTAACATCATTAGTCCGTCAAGCTTCACTTTCAACAATATGGATTGGTGATGAGGCTTGACGTTTTGGGGCGGGAATGTTTAAAAGTTAGAACGTCTAGCAATCCGTCACGAACGTTGTAAATGGATAGGTTGGATACGATCTCCAGGATCTCCTTGCGTTGTTAAAATTGTTAAATAGTGTAGAGTCGATAGGTGTATTCGATTGTCTAGCTATCAGTTATCAAATCACATAGGTAGGCAATCGCGGACATAATGTGAAGCATATATCACCAGGTATGCAATCCACCTATGATTGATTGCGGACCACGTTGGTATCGTAGGTAACTGAAGAATGGAAAATATAGTTAGACCCCTTGACCGGCTGGAACCCGACTGAGCACGATTGACCTTTTTCACAACCCGATTGAGCATAGTTGGAATCAAGCAATATTAACCCAAAAAAACTCAAAAAACAACACGATTGAGCACGAAAATAGGTGCGACGTTGCCAATGTTTATCGTAGAATATTATTTTTAAAAAATAAGATACATTGAATGTAAATGTTTATAAATAAAAATCTTTTATTGGATTTTAATCACATATTATTACATATGTACATCAGTTAGTTTATTATATTATATTACAATTACAATTTATTCCGCGAAATACTGAATATAAAAATATATAATATAAAAAAATGTTGAAAAATACCAATCAAAATGAATTAAAAAATAAAAATTTAAATTTTTTTCCCTAAATACTTATTTACAATTTTAAATAAGTATTTAAGTAGGTTATCAACATTTTTTAATTCAGAGTGCTCCTGATAAGCCTTTATAAGCTCCAAAATTTGCCAACTTTTTACCTCTCTCGGATAAAATAATTTTTATTTCATTATTTTCCATCGTAAAATTTGCACACTACCGCACTACGAGCACGACTGCACGAGGCAACAGAATCATAGACTGACTGTGACCAAGTTTTATTTACAGCATAGGTACATATTATAACAGTTAATCACAATTTAGTGCAATCGTTGTAGATAGAATTCTGGTTTCCTATATATCCCAGTTATTTTCAACTTCCGTGGGTATACCTACCCATCGATCGATAGCAAAATCGTTTACGACTAATATGTTAGTAATTACCTATTGGTAATATCTACACAACATACGTAGGTACTAGTGAAAATCTGACAACGTTGTACACAATATTTTTTTTTATCGTGCTCAATCGGGTCGTCTAAAAGATCGGCCGATAACGACCGTGCTCAATCGGGTATCACCGCCCTGACCCCCTATTGTTAGTTGTCAGTGAGTACCGATTTTGGAGACACAGTCGAATTATAAATGTCGCACTTATATAGAAGGTGATTTTGTTAATCGGAGATGAATTTGTGATAAGACCTGGCTCTTTGGCGGTCTCGTTTCGAAGGCGGGAAAGCCTTCACATCTAGTTTGTGAAAATGATTATACAATACCAATTACTAGTATGAACAATCAAAAAAAGAATACAGTGCCTAGTATTATTATTGGTTTAGTGTGTATTAGTTCAAATATTAGTATTATAATAATTATTTATCAATGTTTATTATACCGTATTTTACAGCAGTTTGATGGCTTAGGCGCAGAAAAGTCCTATCGCGATTTTTTGAACTAAGAAATAATTTTGAAATATTTCTAATTGATAAGAATCGACCATTGTCTTTACTTACAGATAGTGAATGGGTTTGGAAATTAGCTTTTTTAGTGGATATCACAAAATATATGAACGACTTAAACCTAAAATTACAAGGTAAAGATGTTCTTATTTGCGATGTTTACACATTATTAAAAACTTTTAGGCAAGAACTTATTTTATTTGAAACGCAAATTTCAAAAAATTGTTTTATTCATTTTTTTACTTGTGATAAATATAACAAAGAATCAAAAACACAATTTCCAGTCGACTTCGCTCAAAAAATAATTTCTGAACTTAAAATCCAATTGAAACAACGTTTTTCTGACCTTAACGTAAAATCGGAAAAAATAAATATTTTTCAAAACCCGTTTAGTTGTGATATTTAGAAGTTACCTTCTACCCTTCAAATGGAAATTATTGATTTACAAAGTAATGATGCACTGAAAATCAAACATCGTGAAGAGACTTTAGTTGATTTTTATACATTTCTCCCAGATACACAGTATCCAAATTTAAAAAA